GTTGGAGGCCATCGCCATTAGGTGGAGGCCATTGCTTTTAGATTGGAGGCCATCGCTATTAAGTTGGAGGCCATCTCTATTAGGTGGAGGCCATCGCTATTAGGCTGGAGGCCACCGCTATTAGGTTGGAGGCCTCGCTATTAGGTTGAGTATTTGCTTGGAGGCCATCGCTACTAGTAACATCCGAAATGCACTCGCACAAATGAACCAGCTGTGCAGTCAGTTCCCAGTGCCTGGCATCGTTGACAAGGGCAGCACTGCCTTTTGGTCGGGGACACAGGTGTTTTGCGACAACACCGCAGTTGGCCCCACGGCAGCTGCATTGCCTCCAGCCGGACGAGAAGTTTTCAGTGATGTGAGCTTCTGTGGGGATACGGTATGGGTCAAAACGCAGTGTTACTCTTGTTTTGGAGTCTTGGAGTGGTTTGTTTGATGGATCACCGATGTCTCAAAACCCATCAAAACCCCGATTCTGCAGAAAAGAGCAACATTGGAAGCACACAGCGAAGCCACACACGTGCTCTTCCGCACCCCCCACCCCAGGCCTATTCGAATGTAATCCAGGTGGACCTGCCCATGCAGCACGCTTGAAGTCGCCAGCTTGACACGTTTGCCTGGCAAAGCTCCCAGGATGCTCTCTGAACTCAGCGGTGGAAGTCTCTCAATCGTTTAAAAGTCTAAGAGTCTAAGAGGGTCTGCAAAAACCCAGGATGCTTCTGGCCGGGTTTGTTCGGTCCAAGGAGAGTCTGACCGAATCAAACCACCTTGTTTGTATCCTTAAGTTGTCTGAAATCGGTGATACGTGTAACTTGATATCATATCACATGATGCAGCCTTTTGGAGAAATCCATTTCCCTGTCCATCCAAGGTGCCAATTGTAGCATTTGCACCAACCTCTATCAGGTCTGGGTCATGTATTGTGCATGGACCTCGGGTGGCAGAAACGCTCAGGGTGGTGATCAGTGCAGAACTCAACCAATGGGACGACATTAAAGCCCCCGAGCTTGGTGAAATCACGACATCGATCTAGTGACAAACACAGTACATGGTGCATTGAGCCCTTGTGCTTACAATTCTGAACCAACACCACTCGTTGACCACGCGTTCACAAAGAGACAGTGAACTCGGCGTCTTTGTTTCGCCAAAACACTGATCCTTGCGCCCGGGCCAATATTTGCTCCTTAGCGCGAGCAAATAGCTCCCAGGAGTATGGCTCGCAAAGGCTGACGTGGCATGTGAGCAACAACATAATTGTAACCACAACCTTCAACATTGTCGTTGATTGAAGATTCAAGCAACAGTTTCTGAGAGTCCTAAATCTCGAATCCAGGGGCGCTTGCAAACGTTGACGTTTGTATTTTGCATACGGCTGACTGCCTATAACTGCGATCCCAAGGAGGAAATAGATTCACGAAGTCAGTATCACAAAAATTCACAAGTAAACAAAAGTACTATTTAAAACCATAACCATGCAAAAAACAAGTTGTTCTCTAAAAAAATGTGTCTGCTTCTCGTCTGTGAAAAAAGTGTGGTTCTTGCTAGTTTGGTGGGTAATTTGTTAAACAGATTTGTGATGATTTGTGTAATGTGTATTTAATAATCATATCACTACATTACATCTTATCTCACGCAGCGTGAGCAGCCACCTCCCCTCCCTCTTTGGCCGCGAGACCCAGCAGCCGCAAGAAGCAATTCGCCAGTGGGGTCTCTCCGATGATAGGCATCATATGTTCAATGGTTGCTTTCAGCAAATTGTTGACAAACCACCACTTGTAGTAGTCCTCACTCGCATTGGATTCGCGGTCAGTTTTGCTTCTGAGTTCCAACAGGCATATTACGGCAAATGACTTGAGGCACGTAGCGCTGATCCTTGTGGTGGTTGGATGATGTGTTGAAAGTTGAATCCAACACCATCAGATCCGAGAGCACACACTGGGGCTTCTACTGCTCTCAGAAGAGTGTTCACAATGTCTCTTTCAATTGATTCACTGCAACCAAGAAGCAAAAGACCAAAGCTCTATCTTGCCTGAGGTGCACTCTTGGTTCCCTTTGCATCTCAAATCCAAATGCATTCCCCATGGGATCTGTCCCTACACAGTTCTGATGTGTGCAACGAACGTCTGAGGTCGTGCTGGACGCGGGCCTGGCTTCACACGGCCCAAAACAATCCATTTCATGAGCACGGCAACCATCAACATCACCAGGAGGTCCAAGAAGGCTGCACAGGGAAGGTAGAGGAAAAATGCCTTCTCTCCAAAATACCTCAGATGTCTGGGATAGGAAAGATGGAAAATAGATATATAGAACATCCGGAGCTTAAATGAAGCAGGTCCTGTCCACCAACAAGCCCTTGGTGTTAAAAAATGCCACAACTCCCGACTCCCCCCCTGAAAGGAACAGGACAGAATGAAAAAGGATGGTATAAACAATGTGTTGGTCCGAAAGGGGTTGCCTTGCCCCGTAGAGCAATTAATGTGAGTGTGGGAGTAGAACACACATTGAGAGGGTAATCGAAGTAACGTAGTAATCTTCTGCCCTCAATGCGCACGAAGTCATAATAGCATAAATGGACCTGGATCAAGATTGGTGTGCTCTGATGCAAAAGTAATCTGAACATGTCGTGCTGCATGTGTTTGAAGGGCCCTCCCTTTGCCCATGCATAAAGCAGAATGGCCCTGCTCACGTGTTCACATGAATGTGAATGCACTTGCTCACGTGGATCAGGTGCATTCAGGTGAATTTGTGTGTGGTCCAGCGCAACTGATGCTGCGGTCCAGCGCTCAAGGCAACACAACTCTTTATCACTTGTACAATTGCAAGTGAAGCAGTACAATTCCTATCTCATGAGAATGAAACATGTTCATCTTCTTGACTTGTGTATACAAGTCAAGACTGTGCCAAAAGACCCCCCAAGCGCTCAATATCTGAGAATTGCAAGACGGATGATGTTTGCTTCACCTCAACTTCTGAGCAGGGCAACCCCCGTTTAGCGTTGTCGGTTCAACCGTTCGTTTGCCACCTGCGGGCTGTGGAGTGAACACTTCCACAACTCACGGAGGATGAGGAGGATACACCACGACTCTGCCAAGACTCCACCAAATATACCATGCCGCCCACCAAGCTGGCGACCACGCCTGGGGAGCGGAGGACAGGAAAGAATCACTCCAAAAAGTCAACCTTTGACCAAAACATCTAAAGCCTTCCCACGATGCTACGCGCCTGGCGTTGGAGCAGGAAGCTCAACCAAAAGACCTGAAACACCACTGCTCTGCAGGGCGGACATCGACCCCGCGGGATCTGCAAAAACGACACGACGGCACTCGATTTCATAACCGAAGATCAAAGAACTAAGGCAACGGAGGCAGGATGTTTTCTTCGTTAAGAGTCGAAACTCTCATGAATCTAGGCACACCTATTTGGAAAAGAACATGTGGGCCCGAAGACCATCGAATACCATCGAAGACCTAGACTAGTAGACTAGGTGTTCCAAGATGCTCCAAGGGTCTTAGTTTTAAAAAATAGATTTAGACCAAGCTTGACCACAGCCATGGGCTTGGAACACCGGCTGGCTCTTGGTCAGGGAGTTGGCTAAAACGGACCCAAAAGTACGACACTTCCATCAGCCTAAAATATCTATATAAAATTGCTTTGAAATGCTAACAAGACGCGTAGGTATCAGTCAAAATGATCAGACATGGTATCATGATAGATCCATCGCCATTAGGCTAGAGGCCATCGCTATTAAGTTGGAGGCCATCACTATTAGGTGGAGCCCATCCCCATCAGGTTGGGGGCCATCGCCATTAGGTTAGAGGCCATCGCTATTAAGTTGGAGGCCATCACTATTAGGTGCAGGCCATCGCCATCAGGGTGGGGCCATCGCTATTAGGTTGGACCATCAGGTTGGAGGCCATCGCTATTAGGTGGAGGCCATCGCCATTAAGTTGGAGGCCATCGCAATTAGGTTGGAGGCCATCGCTATTAAGTTGGAGGCCATCGCCACTAGGTTGGAGGCCATCGCTATTAAGTTGGAGGCCATCGCTATTAGGTAAGAGGCCATCACTATTAGGTCTAGGCCGTCGCTATTAGGTTGGAGGCCATTGCTATTAGGT